AGCAAATGGCTGCAATATAACAAAGAGTGAAAAATTTAAGGGGGTCTGAATACTTTCCGTACCCACTGTATATATATATATATATATATATATATATAACATTAATATTATTTATAATATTAATAGTATTAGTGAATAATAATATAAAGATAATAGCATATAGAAAAATAAATGAATGAATGATGATAATATATATCACTCGTGTGTGTGTGTGTGTGTGTGTGTCTGTGTGTATACGCACACACACATATCTTTGACTTCATGAATGAACAAATGAACAGAAAAAAATATCGACATGCCATAACATCATTCATTTCTTATTATTGTACCCAAAAGATGGTTTACATAGGAACATAATTCTGTGAAAATAACACTCAAGAAATCATAATGGCAGATCAAAAATAGCCACATACGCAGAACTAATTCTGAATACACGAAGAGAGTCTGACAAAAGCCTGGACATTAGTGCGGCTCTGATTCATTCTCATTCAGACCTTGAGGTGAAAGATTGGCCACAGCGACGTTTGCCGTAACCATACAAAAATTATACATGCTCTCTTGTGTTGGGAAATGCTTTTATTTTAGCTAGAAAGGAAATATGACAGGAAAAAGCAGATTTTTGGATTAGAGTTTGATTATAGTTCAGTCATGCAGAAGATGCAAAGCTACATGACGCAAGAAAAGCCTTCAGGGAAACCCTTTAGATTTAGACCCAAAATGCACACGCCGTTGCTTCCCAAACACAAACAGACACAAAACCTTGTATTTATAAACTCCTGGGAAGATTTAAAAAATGATCCTTATTAATAAAAGCTCACTTTAGTTTCCATACAATCAGAGAAAATACACCTTTTGGTATTTTAGGATTAGAAAAGTCATCTTTCCAAACTCGCATATGGTTTATATGAACTTTAGCAGACAGAGAGAGCGGATGGTGATGCTTCAGAAAGGATAAAAAGCCCCGTGACAGTATAGCTGTCAAAATGCATTCGATTCAAAACCAATGACATTAGATGTCAAAATGATAAATAGTGAGCTTAAATTTGGGTTTGTTCCTCACACAAAGCAATCATATGACTTCTGATGACTGCTATGGACTATTAAATTATGAAACTTTAATGGTGTCTTCACACCCTTGACACTTTTGTTGTACAGAAAAAGAACATTATGAAGAACATTTTGCTAATTTTCTGATTTTTTGTTCAACATGAGAAAGAAAGTCATAAGTGTTTGGAACAAAATGAGGGTGAATAATGAAACAGGGTTATTATAGTTAACAAAAACTAAAACTAGACTTAAACTAAACTTACTGTTTCCAAACCAATGTCAGCAAAATGTTATATTTAAAGAAATACATATAATATTTAATTTCTTAAAGTTAACTAAAACTAATTCTAAAACCATTTTAAAACATTTTTGTTACTTACAAAATAATAAAATAAATGATAACTAAAACTAGAACTAAAACTAGTTTACTAAAACTAAAAGAAAATCTAAGTGTCTCCAAACCAACATCAGTAAAATGTTATATTTAATTTAAAAAAATTTATTTAATATTTAATTTATTATAGTTAACTAAAACTAATTATAAAACCCATTAAAACATGTTTGTTACTTATAAAACAATAAATTAAATGTTAACTGAAATAAAATATAAAAAAAACTAAACTTACTTTAATTTGAGCTAGTTGCCAAAGCAACATTTCACATTTTTATTTAGTTTAACTTGATGCACTAAAATAACTGAAACTAAAACTGAAATTAAAATGAATAAAAACTATATATTTAAAATATTAAAAAAAAAACGATTAAAAAAATGTAAGAAAATAACTACATTTTAACAAAACTTAAAATGAAAACAGAATATTCAAAAATAAAAACGAATCAAAATATTAACCAAAATAATAAAAACTAAATTAATTTCTCAATGATACTAAAATTTTAGTATAATGAAAAAAAAAAAACTTTTTGGGTGCGTTGTTTTTTTAAGATGTTATTTTGCCCCTTTATAAGTCTTTTTATAAGAGATTTTATCAAGTTATGTTATTCTTTTGGATATTTTTGGGAAATTTTACCCACACAATAATTGTGAAAGCTGCCCACACACACAAACACACACACACACACACACACACACACACACAAATCTGTCAGGTCTGATATGTGTTTCTACAATCACCCTCAGTTCCCTACAGGGCTCTTAAAGCAATGTGCACAGGATTCCTATCAGAATTCAACCTCGGACACCATTTAAAATGATCGTAATGGGATCAAATGAGATCCTGCTGCCTGAAGGATTTTTTTCATCTTCGAGTCCTATCAGATGTTGTACTTTATCAGATCTGTTGTACAGTATTGGAAACATGTCCTGCTACTCAACAGTTGAAATAAATCATGTAGAGTTGAAAGAGCTGCTTTCAAAATGCATTCTGATCCTACAACAGATTTTATGATAGCTTTAGTTTTGGGTTATGCTGGAAATTCCTATAAGTTTTGTAAAAAATTATGATTAAATTCCAATAGGAGACCTGTGCACATTTTGACTGGGGCTTGTAGTGATTCTGATTAATTTTTCACATCATTTTATAGTGAGCTTTTTCAAGTTTAGACAATGATCGTGACACGGTCCAGGAATGTGAATAAATGCTGACGCGCAACAGTCGGATTCATCTCTGTGCCTTTCACAGTTTATTGACTCCAAACCAGCGTCAGCAAAAAAGGAATCTGCTCATTTCTGAGGAGAACCAATATCTCAGACAACCAGAGGAAAATCTGATTTCTCAGATCTGATGCTGTCGTTTCATTACTCAGGAGATGTCGAGTTCACATTTCATTTTCTTAACTTGTCTTCAGATGTTTCTCCTTTTAAAAAAATTAATGTGGAGAGCAGGTCAGATCATTTGGATGAGTTACACGCTGATGTTTAATACTTATTATAGGTTTTTTTCAGATCACTAACCTTAACTATGAACAATAGTAATAATGATTCTTGACATAGGGAACACCACTTACAATTTACACTTAAATTGTATATATAATACATATATATATATATATATATATACACACACACAAGGGAATTTTGCTAGTAAAAAATATATAGAAAGTCTATAAACTATGCAGAGTGATGTGCATTCAACAAGTGTTATTTTAGTATCATTGAGATACAATTATTGTTTTTTTAAATCTTTTTAAAGTTTTTATTTTTATATAATTTTTATATATAAATGATATTATTATATATATTATATTTTATATGTATTTTTAAATGTTCATTTATCATTTTAAAGGAGACATATTATGCCCCTTTTTACAATATGTAATATAAGTCTCTGGTGTCCC